GAGGGGGGCCAATAAGGGGGGGGGAAGGGACCGCATGATGGGGACCCAACGACCCCACGGGACACACAATGATGGGGTGATGCCACCCATGGGGACCCAGTGACCCCAAAGGACACCAAGAGGGACCCAACAGTGGGGACCCAATGACCCCAGGAGGGACCTAACAAAGGGGTGATGCCACCCATGGGGACCCAATGATCCCAAGGGGACACCCAAAGATGGGGTGATGCCACCCATGGGGACCCAACGATCCCAAAGGGCACCAAAAGGCACCCAACGATGGGGTCCCAACGACCCCAGGAGGGACCCAATGAGGGGGCAGTGCCACCCACGGGGACATGGTGACCCCTGGGGACACCAAGAGGGACCCAAAGATGGGATGATGCCACCCACGGGGACCCAATGACCCCAAAGGACACCAAGAGGGGCGCAACAATGGGCACACAACGACCCCAGGGGACACCCAAAGATGGGGTGATGCCACCCATGGGGACAGGTGACCCCTAGGGACACCAAGAGGGACCCAAAGATGGGGACCCAACGACCCCAGGAGGGACCCAATGAGGGGGCAGTGCCACCCACGGGCACATGGTGACCCCAGGGGACACCAAGAGGGACTCAAAGATGGGATGATGCCACCCACGGGGACCCAATGACCCCAAAGGGTCATGAGGGATGCAATGATGGGGATCCAACGACCCCAGGGGACACCCAAAGATGGGGTGATGCCACCCATGGGGACCCAACGACCCCAAAGGACACCAAAAGGCACCCAACGATGGGGACCCAACGACCCCAGGGGACACCCAAAGATGGGGTGATGCCACCCACGACGACCCGACGATCCCATTCCCCCCCCTCCCTCCCCCCGCACCGAGGGGTCGCCTCCCCCACTGCCGCCCCCTCCCCTACTCCCACCTGTGTCCCCGTCGGTGTGACGACCCCCGGAGCGCTCGGAGCTGCGGTGGCCGCGGTGGCCCCTCCTGGCGTGGTGCCTCTGCCCGCCGTCGGGGGCGATGCGCTCCAAAGAGAATTCATCCAAACGAACCGAGCGGCCCCGACCGGAGCCCAGCGTGGAGGCGGAGCGGCGGATGGGGCTGTCCGGGATGGTCTGCGGGGATTGGGGGGCGGGGGGGGCGGGGGGAGGCGGTGATGAGACCGCGGGTGGGGCTGGGGGGGGTTGGAGGGGGCTTGGGGGGTGGGGAGGGGGGTCTCCTCCTGGCTCCCACCCACAGCGCTGCTCTGAGCATCGGCTGCGGTGCCAA